GGGATTCTACTCTAGAAGACCCACAATAGATTTTTGGGTTTACCAGGAAGCGCCAGCTTCCCTAGCAGTAGTCTTATCGCTAAGGCCTACTACAGTATCATAAATATATTGCGATGCAGTACGCGGACGTCCGTCCAACGCTGAATTGGGTAGAGACCACGGCAGCATACCACAGCCTCATTTGATGAGCTGCTTAGCGTCCTAGTCGACGGAGTTGCACTGAGATCATTGGAATCGAACACAATCACTTTGCGATCTTTGAAGATAATGTAACCAGCTCGTTTTGAATTAACATTCTCTGCTACATACTCTCGTCGTCGAGCCTTTGACAGGCGCTTCTGTGTGTTCTGCCTCCTTCTTCTTCCAATCAGGCGCATTATCAACCACTACAACTAATTCCCAGCTACCACACTCCAATTCCGCCACGCGCAATACCGATTCCTCGACCTCCTTTTTATTCCATATAGTTTAAACGCACTGTCCCGATTGTTCTTATTTCACCGTCGCTAAAAGCAAGAATTGCTTTGGCAAAAGTGTGCCGAGTATTAAATTTGTCGGAAACAGTAAGTCTATAGCCGTTTGGAGAGCGTAGAATCTTCGATTGATGGCCAACCATACTTAGCCACAAAGCCGTAGCAGAACTACTGCTTATTTCTATCTCTCCATGTACCAATGTATTGTGAAGGCTTGTGCGGGACACAGGAAGCTGATCAGTGTAGCGCTGGGCTGATGTGGACCGCATTGTGTTACCAGAAGTGATGCTCCATAAATAATGTACGTATAGGGTGAGAATTCCAGCCAACGACCGAACACTGTACTTATAAGGTTTGGATGACATGTATGTTCGAGCTTTCGAGCGCGTTTTAATTGGCACGGTCATCTCGTCAATGCTGCTTACACCAGTAGGAACAGCGATCTCAGTAAAGCGCTTTTGTAAATGAGCGAGTAGTGTCCTACTGTGCCATAATGCGTCGCACTCATTGTCAATTGACGTCTCTCCGCTTGCGTTAAGCTTCTAACCCGCTCGTATAGGCTGAAATATTGTTCTTGCCATTGTCTCAGAGAAGGCAGGTTGACCAAGAAATTGTTTCTCTGACCAATATTCGGATATGTCGCTCAATGTGCATGTACTCATGGCTATCACTAACCCAAAATAAACGTTGAACTCACTCTCAGTCGGCGTCACTTGTCCACGAGAAACCAAAACTTCAGATGTCCACGAAAGTAGAGTGCGGCGAAAATGTGTCGAAATAAAATAGCGAAAAGAATCCGTATTCACCATTATCACGATAGGCTTTTGCTACTTTTGCTTCCACAACGACATGCAAACCACTCTGCATATTCAACGACTCCATGTACGTAGCTCCAATGGCCCTTGGTGTGTTGCTCTTGGCTGCGCTGCCCGGAGACTGACTCATGACGCTGTAAGCAGGTACGCCGTCTACGTCGGCCTCCATGTCGCTGGAACTAAGCTGCAGAATGCTTGCACTTAGTGGCAGATTGTCAGCACTAAGAGGAATGTCGCTGGAGCTGAGCTGCACCTCGATAACTAGGCACTGCCCATCAGCGTCACTTGAGCTCGAGACGTGAGCACGGAGTCGGTTTCCACTGGTGTGTGTCTGGACAGCGACCGGTGCTAGCTCCAGCTCGTCGCTAGTTTCTCTGTGAAAGTCTCCAACAATCTCCCTACCACCGTCAGCTTGTCCGTCATCCTTCTCACCACCAACGAGCCTCTCCCATCCCCCAACAAAAATTTTCCACGGCTATATCTTCGATATTGTATGCGTTTTGCGACCTAAGCACTGTCCAGCACGGCGCGCTCTCGCTTACCATCTCGATGGTTGTGAAGAAGAGCGCAAAAACCCTAAAATAAAAGTTATGGTGGTCTCATCAAACAATTCTAATCCGACTTTTAAGTAGCAACGTGATATAACACATGAGGCTCTGGTGGGGGGGGGGTTAAACAAGTGAAAAAATCCTAGACGCCATCCCCTGGGTGCTCGGTTGGGGAATATTGTTGGCAATCTGCATACCCCGTCAGAATCGTTATGGCGGAATGATTGATCGACTGCGCCAGTCGGTTGGAAAAGAACACGCGTCGTCATGAACGAGACGACAGTTTTTTTTACCTTCTTCTGTCTCCAACTACGCTACCACAGCATCTACAGTCTACGCCTCATGGCGCGGCAGACCAAGTCGCTTCAGTGGAGTCTTCAGCAGAGACTGTGGTAACAGCACCAATATCGAAGTCAAAGCGTGGCCGGCCTTCCAAGAGTGATCAGGAACTTTGGACGACGTCCTCGACGGAGGCACTTTTTATAGAGTTCTTGTATGATGATGTCAATCAATCTACTGTACTATATATTTTACAGAGATCTAATAAAATGTGGTTTGTATCGGTATGCTACTGCTAAAGATAACTTCAGCAATGTTCGTAACCACGTTGAGGTTGGAGCCGCTTGGATACTCGTCGCTACACTGGTCAACAAGGACGAGGATACAGCGTATACCGTCACGCAGTACAAGGATAAGGTAACGGTATAATATTTAATAGAAGTAGCGATATGAAGTGATAACATTTATTATTATTTGTATAATACAGGTTAAATGGCTAAAGAAATAGTGGTCAATGTATCGAAAAGACCGAAGCAATACTGCGAACGTTCCCAAGACTGCTGCTCCCCCCTGTCTGGAGCTCATGCTTGAGCACTGGGGCGAAATCCTGGCATGCAGAGTACGTTACTTGTAGACGGAACCAGCGACCTTGACGATGATGACAAGGACAACGCTTCTACGAGCAGGGACACCGGTCGCTCCAGTCCCAACAAACACCAGAAAATTCAACTGATAATGCGTTGAAGAAGGTATGTTCTTTTATTAGTTTCATTAATTAATATCACACTAACACCTTTAATGCTACTTCAATAGGGCTTCGCGCTTTGGCTGACGGGGTAAAAGTTGTCGGCGAGGCAATGAAAACGCAAAAAGCTTCTGCCGGGAATGCCAGTGTTTTATCGCAGGAAGTGGTTACACCTCTTGCACTCAGCAGGCCAACTTTCTATTCGAATGAGTGTTCACGTCCACAAAGTAGCTCGAAGGTTGCATGAGATTGAAAAATCTCACAAATACGTAGGAAATTACTCCGTGAACAACACAAATGTTCTCGAAACCACGCATCGTAGTGTGGTGACGCTATTAAAGCGTCAAAATCAAGTTTCGTCACGGTAAGTCAGCTCTCGCTGTCTCCTTTTAGCAACACCGTAGTTGACACAGTGGCAGCAGCGCACACAGCCTCAAGAAGGAGGACGAGTGCCTCTGCGTCTTCGTCTTCGCCCTGCTGCGTCATTACAATCACACGTTTGTCTGCTTCCTCCGACTAGTTTCACCAAATATTTGTCGGGGAATATAATCACTAGTAATGGGAGGACAGCTTTAGCTGACTGGACAGCATAACCAATTTTGCTACATTGATGGCGTGCCCCCCCCCCCAATTTGCGCGAGTTACCTCCACAGACTGACCCTAGGGGTACAGAATATCTAGCGTACGTTCTGTCATATGTGTTGCGTGAATGTTGCTAGGAAGATAGCAGCTCATTAATGTAGGATAAGGTAAGTTAGTCCCAACTGTTAAATTGTCGGGATTTGTCGTGTTTGGTTTGTCAATGAGAAAAAGAACACAAATGTTTTTGCCAACCATAAACCGTTTAAGTAGATTCCCAAGAGTTTCCCAATTATCTTGGGACATTTCGAAGTTTATCAGGTAAAATACTTTACAAAATTCAAGTGTCGAGCATTCTTATTCAAATTTAACCATAAAATCCCAACACAATTTTGAGCTTTAAACAATGGCTGTAGTGATTTTACTTTTACTCTCATTTTGATAGATGCAACGAGCGGCGAGAGGACTAGACATCCCGCAAGGGACGGCGGGCCAGGAGGCAGCAGCAGTGAAGACCTTCCGTGAATTCTAGCTCTTCGTACCATGGATGAGGACTCTATTGGTAGCATCGCTATGACTCTGTCTGCTCCAGGAGAGATGTCAAGTCAAATTTTTTACTCATTGCTAACTGCGTTCTCGATTTTTCTGCAAACTAAGTCAAGTGCACGAGACAGTCCTCTAGCTAAAGCTACTTCAGTGGGTTATATGTCTTAAGTTGCTAACCTTTTGCGTGAGCGGTACCCTACTCACCTGTCTGACCGCAAAAGAATTGGGAAGATTCGTGATAAAATGGGAGCCGCTATCGAGGAATGGAATTTGCGAGTGGGTCAGCAAACAGGCGAAGCACCTGGATGCACGCTCAATGACCTGCGCGTTCTGGTGCAAGAAACGGCGAATAAGGGCGCTGGGTCGAGTTATAAGAGTTTGCATGCTGCTGCAGCTCAAACGCTAATGTGGCATAATTCGGTCGTGCGATCGATACCTGCTTTACTCGGAAGAAGCAGTTGCCCTTGGCTGCGTCGGGGGAGCTCTTTCTGCACATCGCTCGGGTTAAAACTTCTGTGATTCAAGGTATTTCTATCTACAAGGCTACTACACATTGGAAGCAGTGTATGCTGCACGTCTTAGGAATGCTATGCGCAAGTGTTTCAAAGTCCTCTAGCTACGTGTTTCCACTGGTTCCCCACGCAGCGTCTTCGGATCTGCCTGGAAACAAGACCTACAGCTAGGAGGAGGCTACTCTTTACTGGGAGAGGTTCCGAAATAACGAGAACGAGGTGAAAGAGCCTCGTCCAATTCGCGTTCGCGGAAGGCCTAACGTGTCCAAGTATATAAACGACCTCATCACTCTAGTGTCCGACCGACTCGCCAAGGCTGCCGCTCTCCTTCCCCCCCCCCCCCGAGCTGACACCCGAGCTCATAAGTCACTCGTTGCGTCGTGGCTCTGCTGCGTACGCAAACGTGTCGTCGTAACTCGCAATCCAGTGGATCTCCACGCGCGGAGCTTGGCTGCTGGACTCGTTCACCAAAGCTTTTGCCTACTACGCGCAAGGATCAGAGCATGGGCAAAGTCCTGCCCGGCTACACGGACCCTCACCTGCAGTGCGTCACGCCTTCCGTTACCACGTTGAAGGAGCTGCTATCGGACCTTGAGTATGCACAGGTACTGACGCTACGTGGTCAGCTTTTCTAGAACGTGAGCGGCTTCCATGACTCCAGCCTCAACGTCGACACTGCCGTCCTGAATGCCACACTAACAGCACTGTGCATTCATCTTGAAGAGGTCACAACATTAGTAGCGCGAGAACAAGCAGCCACGGGGTTCACGTCCCACTACTTGTAACGTTTCCATGAAGCCATTGATGCACCAATGCCGCCTTAAGGTTGCGACCGTCGCTGGAAGTCTGCCCTGGCTGGGGACGGCAGCTTCGCATAGCGTGGGAGTCCGAGAACAACGCGCAGCTTGGGCAGCGGGCTGGGGGAGAGAAAACAGTGCTTGCTGCAGCTGTGACTCAAATTCTAACGTCAATGGCGTCAATGCAGCGCACGCTGCAGAAGCTCGTGGCGATACAGGAAGTTCCACCGAGAAGTCCCGCCACCATACTGTCCTGCTACGCATTGACAGAGTCCCGTTCTCCTCCGCGCCTGGTGGCATCGCTGAGGCGCACTCACCGACTGGATGCTTGTATAACTGATTTACGCAGGAGCTGTGGCAAACAGCGACACAAAAGAAGCAGCAATTTGTCCGTGTAGACCTCAAGGCGTGTATCAACATCAAGATCATCGCAGGGGGCAGGGATATAGACATACATTCAGCTCCGCAGGTCCAAGGTGGAGTCGCGCACCAGATGTAGCAGGCACTGTGGACGCTAGCAGAATCGCTAGATACCACACCAAAACCAACACCGCACTCGGCAACATCGACGGGAAGGGCCGCCCGAAGACAGCAGGCTCGCTGCGAAAACGCTGGAGAAAAATCTGACTTGATCACCGGTCATCGTACGCCACTCTATGCTCAGCCTTCATTACGTGCAAAGCAAACGGAGGCATCATCGATAGCTGCACGCCTGATAGCCACCAATTGAAGCAGAAAGACTTGGAGTTGTAGAGATAACTGGCTTGCATTTAGTTCATAATACATATATAAGCATATTAAACAAGATGTAGCTCTCTCAGCTAGCCCCATGCTCGCTGATCGGACTCGGGCAGCATAAATAGCAAATATGCACTAATCATCAGCGTAATACAGAGTAGAGCCTTACCTACAGAGTACACGTACCGCACGAGGCACGATGACACCCTTGATAGCCTTTGTTACGTGACCAAAGAGGCAAACGGACAGCATAACGCCCGCCCTGCCGGGTTCGGAGCATCATTCGAGACAGCTTGGGTGGACACTTGCAGGCTACCCTTAGCGGGTGAGGTGGAGCTTGGAGAGACCGCTAAGAAACTGGAGAGCGCGCTGCTGTCGGCCATGCCTATGGCGCGGATTCAGAAGTGAGGGTAGTTTTATTGTGCCAGCAAATAACCTCATAATATTTTTTCTAGCCAAACCTGGTCTTTGCAATCGATAATCACCGGTAGTTTTTCCAAGTAATTTGAATCGTTCTGGCTGATTGGCTTATTTGTTTGGGAGCCACGTTTGGGAACTCGTCGATTACTGAAGACAAAGGCATCGGGATGGCATCTGCAGCAGTGATAATAGGCTAATACAAACTTTGGACCCTTTGTATAATTATTACAGGATCGTAATATCTCCCTGCCAACACCACCTTTTCCAAATTACTCTCACCAAGTGGACCAATAGCGGTTCTTGTCGCTTTTGCTTGAGCCCACTTGTCTTGGCTGTACATGCTGCAGCAGCACGTGGCTTCTTTTCTTGATGCGCATGAAGCGGGCGTACGTGTCTCTCGGCTGTCCATTATTTTATTGCTTGTCTGTCCCAACAGTAATATTAAATATGTCTCTATTTTTGCTAAATTCGTATTTCAAGTAATAATTCACCTTTTATGAAACACAAAAAATCAACACCGTCCTAAAGCAACGCCTGGCCCCTAAGTTAGGGTGGGACTAAACCCCTTATCGGGGAATAAATCGCTAGCCAATCAAATTCATTAAATATATTCCCATACCCAAACAGATACCAGGGTCTGACTGAATTACACTAGGTATACCACCGTTTTGATGCGCATATAATGATTTTAAATTTATTTTAAATTATTGATTAAACTGATAAAACCGTTTTTATGGGGTTTGAAAAGCATCCTTGAGCAAGTATATCCACCTTTTGCTCAGCTGCGCACACCAATACGCCGCCGTTTGTTCTCATGGCAACCATCGCTGGCTAATGTACTGTTGTCAGTGCCAGCGGATTCTCGCCGTCCACTTTGTCTAAACGGTATTTGCACAGGAGATTAATGTAGCCCTGCTTGTTGTCTTGTGTAGTCGAGCGAGGCTGTGAATTGAGCTTCAGCTTTCACATATGGACTTCGTAACTGCTTTGAGTGGTACGATTTGAGAACCACATGTAGGGCAGCTTCCTCACCGTCGGCGCGGTGGCTATCGACTAGCTCGATGATTGCATCGTCCATTTCTTCTCGCACAATGCTGGCGGCTAGGAGACGGGCATTCTGGGCCTTCTATGCGATTGGTGGCTCAGCCGGAGCCGACGGAAGAATTCCCGGATACTGGACCCTTTCCTTCTGTACGAATCCATGTTCGTCTTATTCTGATTCTTGTCCACCTCAAACATGCGCGCTATAAGCTGGGGCCTAAACAGAACGTTGACCAGGCGAACTGCATCGTGTCGAATGCATCCTGGCTCACCATCCCCTGCTGTCCCGGCACTGCCTTGTTCCATCGGTCGCGTAGGAACAATATCCGCACTGCTTACTTTGTCCGAATGGTATTTACACAGCAGGTCAATGTACCCGGCCTGTTGTCATGTGAGGACGAGCGGCTCTGTGGGTTGAGCTTCAGCTTCACACAAGCGCTTCACAACTGCTTTGAGCGGTTAGACTCGAGAAGCGTACGCAGAGTTGTCTCCCCACCGCGAGTCCCGCTACTGCAACCTATTTACGACAAAACGACAGGTCTTGCAGCAGCCTACCAGCCTCCCGTACACAAGAAGCAACCCCCAGAAGCAACACACGGCGTAATTTATTTTAGGGCTTCCTTCTTTTGAATAATAAAATACCGGATCTGTGAAAGTTCCATAAGCCATTTGACAAATATCACAGTTGCCCAAGAGGAATAGCGGCTGTTGGCGCACACACAAAATGGACCAAGGCAGTAGCAAACACTTCGACGGCATTTGCTCCGATCAACTGCCACCGCCACTGTCCCCCCCAACGCTACAGCCACGAAGTAATAAAGGCACCACTCTCTCGCGCACTCGAAAGGCTACGGTTTGCAAGCAAATGCTGCGCTCTCGCCTCCAGAATACCAAGCTGATAGAAGAAAAGCTGGAGAAAATCTCACAGTTTTCACTAGAGCTTATGAATGAACGAAACGAGTTGGCTCTGATGATAGCTCACGAGAAGGAACAGACTATCCGCCTTGCCGCCGCTGCTGGAGTACCTACGCACGAAACAGGCTACGTGATGTTGTTCTCAGTGGCTCTCGAACAGTGCTGCGAAGCTCTATTAGAGCACATTTAAATAAGCTTAATACAAAACTCACAGGAAGAAGACGAGACGACGTAACTACTTAAAAAATCGATACCATTTGGCGAAGGCAACTGCTCGGGTAAATGTGTTATGGTCGCAAGTAGCTCCAAATCAGTCGCCTCTATCTCCTTAGTAAATTTAGTTTGCTACAGTGTTAACTTCTGGATGCAATACTATCATCCACAAGATACGAAGCCGCATAATTGCGATATCGTCCGTTGTAACGGCACCTTGTGCAAGCTGGAAGCTGTCCTTCAACACGGAATAAACTTGGGCAATAGTCAACACACCACACGAAAATCCATCGGGCTGTTTTTGGCTACTTTAACCATACTTTACGGTTCTCCACTGTTCAATCTTCATTCGGCATGGTTTAGTTATGCCACTCTTTCAAAAATGGCACAACCGTAGACGTGTAAGTCGTTTACATCGTATCGCTATACGAAGATCCGCACATTGACTCGTAGTGGTAGGGTGTAAAGCACAGATCTTCTCTTTTGTAAGCAATGGCGATGATGACGACACCCCAATAGATGTTGCTTAAATGCAGAGGCAACACAAGGTAGTGGAAGCTTGAAATCCGTGACTGTGGTGGTTTCAGACAGCCCATAGTTGGAGAAAATGAATCCAATGCGAAACAATCTCCCAGCGCATCGCAGATGCATCGAACACTGAAATTGATAATGACATCAGAGAGCATTCTGTCACGCGCAAGCATTCCAACGAGCGTGTCGACCTTAACGGTGCCTTCACCACTTGATAGTCGGAAAGTAGAACTTAAACAAGCACCCTCGAGCTGTACCACCACTTCGTTTGCCAGCTCCTGGTGTCTTTCCCCGCCGACAGTAAGAATATGTCGTCCGAATCAGTCTCCGCTTTAAACAACTCAGGGTTCGCAAGGATATTGCTCCAGTTGGCCGTTTGCAGCCATTCCATGTCAGCTCTCCATGCGTTAATTGTTTTTACCACGTTGTAAGACTCCAACATTTTGAAGACGGCTTCACTGTTGTAACGGATTCGTACAGCAGTCAACAATATTGTAGAAGCAAGTCAGTCACAGCAACACAACAAAGGCTTACCTTGTAAATCCTGGCGTTCCGCCAGGAATATATGCAATAATTGCTTCGGTGTTGCTGTCCTGGTGCTCAGCCACGGGGTTGAAATACTTCGACTTGGGTCGCTTGTTCCGTTCTGCTTCAATGACCGCTTTCAGCTTGATTACTAGCGGTTTGGGAATCACAAAGTTGTAGACGTAGTCCTTGGGAGACACAGACTCTCGTGTGCAGCACGCGCATTCATGAAATTGTCGTCCAAGATCGTTGGGTAACCTGCCAAGATCTCGCTGACATGATTCTGGTCGGAAGTATCTGTTGCCCACGCGATGACGCGAGACACAGATGGCACATGTTTGTCCGGCAACGTAATAACGGCTAGCCTTATTAGGCTTTGCGGGTTTCTCGAGCTTGTTTTAGTTTTTTTCGTTGGTTGCTTCGTGGTTCGGGTTTTGGAATACGTAGCACTTCCAGACGGCCTCCTTGTGTTCCAACGTTTTTCGATATTTTCTTGGGCGCTTCTGCCTTTACTGCAGCTTTTGGGGGGTAATCACTCTTCACACTGGGTGGTTATTTCGTAGATTTTGCCGTGACCGCGGCTTTTGTCGGGTAATACTTCGTTAATCCGGGCTTCACGCCAGGATTCGCCGAAGGGAAAGAGGAGGCGATGTCAATGTCACTGGATGGAGCTGTTTCATTCCGTGAGGTTGAACTACCAAGCTCACTTTCCTGCGACGACTCGGCCCTTGTAGTATTTCTTTGCAGATCAAACTCACTTTTCTCCATTTCACGAATGAAATTCATAGTTTCAATGAGATCTGCTGGTGTTTGTCAGACATAGTGTCGATAGCATCCAAGCCTTCTCCTGATCCGTCTCCATGTGGCACTGTTGTAGCGTCTGATGTTTGCTCTTCGGCTGATCCAACATCGTGTAGACCTTTGTTAAACTATTGTTTTCCAGGCCTTCAGGACGGAGTAAAATACTGGACTCGACAATTCCGCTAAATGTTTTATCACAGGTTCAAACACAGCTTTTGCATAGCAGTATTTCTCTTCTGATGACAGTACAACAACGTTGGCACGCTCTCGGCGCCGCATCTTTACATATACGACACGGCGTTTATGCTTACGCTGGGCTCCACCGCCACTTCGATCATGTTTTTCTTGAGTTGAGTCATGGGTTACTTCTTGTGTTGCGGAATAATGATGGGTCGCTTCGACCATCTCGACCGAATCAAGTTGTGTTTCGACCGCGTCCGCTCCCGCTTTCTTTTGAGTCAAACCATCATGTTAATAAGCTGCACCTGCTACTTTCATCGAGGCCTCCACAGCTTGAAGCAATGATACACCATCTCTGAAATCCTTCTCCAGCTCCACCATCGCCATCATATCCCAGCGCGCGTGAATAGTCATGGCAGGTAGATACTCGAAACGATGGACATGCTCAGCAACATACATCAAGTGCTGACACGGTAGGTTGTAACTGCAATATAATGAGCACGAACAAGTCCACTCGAAATCGTTACATTCACATGTGTACCCATTGGATCTCACGTTCCACATGCCAGCTCCACCTTTTTCCTTTGTGCACGTAGTGTCCATCAAATGAACCGTAAAATAGTCCCATTGAGAGCGTACTTTAGCCAATGTATCGTGGCTTAAGTGCTTGGAAACGATACTTAGGAAGTCTGGAACAGTTCTCGGTAGACGAGAGGTAGATGCATGCTTTCCCATAGTAGCAAGAACCTGCCGTACGATTGTTCTTTGATGTGCCAGCAGCC